TGCATAGTCAATGAAACACAGATATACATTCCTCTGGTATTCCCTGCTTTCAGCCAAGATCCATCTAACATTAGCTACAATATCCCTAGTACCACGACCCTTCTAAACCCAGCCTGGATTTCTGGCAGTTCTCTGCTGATGTGTTGTTCCAGTCGTTTTTGGATAATCTTCAGTAGAATCTTGGGATGGGAACAAATATAGATCTCTTCCAGTCAGTTGGCCAAGTGGTTGTTCTCCAGATTTCTTGGCACAGTTTGGTGAACAGATGCAGGGCAGCATCTGTTAGCTGAAATATGTCAATTGTTATACCGTCTATTCCTGGGGCCTTATTTTTTTGCTATTTCGTTCAAAGCAACTTGAACTTCTTCCTTCATCAACATATGAGCAAGAGTTTGATATAGTGTTGGGGAAAAATAAGTCTACCAGATTACTCAAAATGCATGGTGAACAATAGTGGATGTAGATTGGACAAGGGAATACCAACTCTTGTGAAGATGGCACAGTGGCAACATTTATTTTGTATGTGAAATCACATGAGAGCTCACCGACTCCATGCAGCTAACAGCAATTGTATATGTAATGCATTGGTGCAATGGAGAGTTTTAAACTAATTATAACAGACTCTAAGACATTTGACTGTGCAGATCATAGCAAATTACGGCTAACACTGAGAAGAATGGGAATCTCAGAACACTTGATTATGTTCATGTGAAACCTAGACTTAGACCAAGAAGCAGTTGATCAAATAGAACAAGGGAACACTTAATGGTTTAAAATTGAGAAAAGTTATGAGCCAAAGCTGTATCATTTCTCTATACCTAATTTAATCAGTATGCTGAGCAAATCTTTCAAGAAGCTGGACTTCATGAGGTACTACGATGGGAGGAAGACTCATCAATAATCTGCATTATGCAGATGAAACGGCCTTGCTTGCTTAAGTCAGGAGGCCTTGAAACTTGCTGCTGAAGGTCAAAGACTATAATCTCTGCCATGCTCCAGCCCATTGTTGTAGTCATTGTGGCTACTGATCCATTTAAGGATCTTCCTGTCTTCCTGTCTCTCTCTGACCCGCCACCTTTCCCAGTCTTCTTCTAAGGACTGGCCCCTTGTGACAATATGATCAAAATATGTGAGATAGAGCTTCAAAATCTTTGCCTCCAAGGAGCAGCTTTGTCTCACCCTCTCCAGGACAGACCTATTTGTTCTCTTGATAGTCCAGGGTATGTTCAAAACTTTTCTCCAGCACCACAGCTCATAGGCATGGATTCTTCTTCTATCATCCTTAAGTGATTGTCCAACTCTGCGATGCATAGCAAGTAATTGCAAACACCACGGCCTGGATCCCTAGACTGGTAGTTTTGCTCTTCGGCACCCTGGAGAGGTCCCTGACAGCCGATTTTCCTAATGCAGTTAATCTTCTGACTTCTGTTGGTGCCAAGAGTGTTGACTGTGGAACTAAGCAAGCTGAAGCTGTTAACAATTTCAATCACTTCTCTATCCACCATGATGCTGCCAGTTGGCCCAGTGGTGAGAATCTTTATTTTCTTGATATTGAGCTTCAATCCATATTGAAGACTACAGTCCCTGAACTTCTGAAGCAAATGCCTCAGGTCGTCCTTCGTTTCAGCAAGAAAGTTTTGTTATCCTAAGGTTGTTGATGAGTCTTCCTCCAATCCTGATTCCACATTCCTCCTCATAGAGCCCAGCCACCCGGATGATGTATTCTGCGTACAGACTGAAAACATATTAAGATAGGATACATCTTTGACGTACGTACACCTTTCCTGATTCTGAATCATGCAGTGTTTCCTTGCTCTGTTCTGACGACCGGCCTCCTGGTCCAAGGATAGGTTTCGTATGAACACAATCAAGTGTTCTGGAATTCCCATTCTTCTCAAGGTTAGCCACAATTTGTTGTGATCCACGCAGTCAAATGCCTTTGCATATCTGATCAGAGAATATTCACATATCCAATACCCTTGCTTGTCCTAGGCGCCCTTTCTTTCCAAAAGCCGAAATTCCTCACGCGGCTTTGCTACCTGCGGCCGCTAGATGCCGCTCCAATCGCATTTCTCGAAATCATAGATACGCAGGTGACCAAGCCGTCCAGAGAGCCTTTTGCGAGCTGCTCTAGGTCCCCCTCCTGCGCAGAGATCTGTTGCTGCAAGAGGCGTGACGTGCGCGCGACGGGGGCGCTTTCTCTCTCTCGAGAGTAACAGCAAGTCTCGCGATGTGATTTTTGCCTAGCGACTGACAACAAGCTGGTTGGTCCGAGTGACAACTCTGAAGTCTCCTGACCTGAAATTGAAGCGAGACCCCAGTCCTAGGCTGGGGCACTTTTCATATAGTGGAGACGGATTCAGAGGGGCTACAGGTAAACCACTTCCTAAACAACATTCCTCCGTAAACTCTGTGAACTTTGATAAATGTCGATAATGGTAGAGGGGCTTCAGGCCTTTTGTTCATAGGGTCGCTGTGAGTCATGCTCGACTCGAAGGCAGTCAACATCAGGTAATTCGTACTCATCGTGGCAGAAAGGTAAGGGCCTTCCTTCCTCCATCCTAGAGGAATGTTAGAGGACTGCCCTTCCCTCTACTGACCGCTACTTTATGTCTGTTTCGACTGTCCCTTCTCCCAGTCTCCAGCCTTCTCCCTACGATCTTCTTTTCTTTGCTTCCTAAGAAACTAAAATGGATACTTGCCTACAAGGCAAGGACTGAAGAGGTGGGCGACGCTTTCAGTATTATTAGATGAGATCGAGAGACTCTGGGAGACTCCTCTCCCAGAAGTGACCCCAGAGACAGAACTATTCTTAGCACCTCTGCAGCTTTCCCTGAGAAATAATCAGCCCTGAGAAAATCAGAGGGGAGAAGCACCATCTACAGAATACCATTCTGTCCTTGTGCGAGTATCTAACAACTGCTGCACAAATTGGATGTCATTTCCCCCATGATTCCCCTGTTCCTAAAACCGGTTAGTAGCAATTCCTAAATAACAGCTGCAGTAGAATTACCTAATAACTTAACGTGGGCCAGAGAAGCCTTAAGGAAAGTTTGGTTGAGGGTTAAGGTGTAATGCAAATTTGGGTAGTTGGAACCAATGCTAATTTAGAACTGCACCTCCAAAGCAGCATGCTTTATGCCCCATGATATTTCTGTCTCCTTTCTCTTAGACCAAGATTGTCGAAAACCAGACATATGATGAGCGTCTAGAGATTAACGACGCCGAAGAGGTTGTAAGTATTTATACTCCAACCTCGAAGCACCAAGGTAAGAGTGGAATGAAGAGAGAAATGCCCCTCAAAAACGAGGATGGATTTTTGGTTATAGAGAAGAAGTTTTCACTTTGTATCAGAAAATTGCCTTGTAGAATCAAGTTAACTTGCTGATGTTTCAGGTTTTTATCTAGTTAAGAGGAGGGAGAAATGATGCCTCTCAGTTTGCAGGATCTTCCTTCCATCCAGTATAATTTATCATCATCTACATACAAGCATGTTAGTGCCTGTGTTCACAATCTGCTCATGGCTCACTTTTTTTTTTTTTAAGAAAGCAACTTAGGCATTTCTTTTTTTAATTTTTCTTATTGTGATGTCAGTGAAAGTTTACAGAGCAAACTGGTTTTCACTTCAGTTCATACACATTATATTTCACTGCACTGATTACAGTCCAGCTTTGTAACAACATTCTTCCCTCCTCCTTCCTGTGTTTCCTGTTTCCAGCCATTCATCTTTTCTATCCCTTCTTGATTTCTGAGTTTTTTTCCCCCCTCTAGAGCTGTCCTTTTGCTCTTGTGTGGTTGATAATTCCAAGAATATTCTAAAAATATTTTCAGATTATTCCTGGTGCTACTTATCACCTTTTAGTTTCTGTTGTTTGCCTAGAAGTCACATATTTCAGTTCTGGCATTAAAACCTACTAAGGGCTGTAGTTTTGGGGATACCACTAGTCTCTGTGGAACCAAGAGGCTTGGTCCTTTTTTTGTTTTAAAGCTTTTGAGTTTGTTCCACATTTTTCTGTTATTCTGTCAGGGACTTTTTACTGTGATGCTTTTCACAGTGGTCAGCAGTGGTGACCAGGCACCATCTATTTCTCTTAGCCTCAGGGAATGTCAGGATACTGACATTCATGTGGTCCATTAGTTGTTTAAACCAATAGTCTTTGATTTTCTTCATTTTTTTGCTCTGATCAAGGAGAAATCAATAGTTGTACCTTAGATGACTGATCATAAACTTTTAACATCCCACCTACTATTCAGAAAAGCATCATAAAGCATTTTACCTTAGGCTATGCTATACAAATTGACCTTATGGTTTCTAAGACTATGGTACTGAGGTCTTAGACTCAAAAATCTGTCTCCTGGAAGTAGTTTGCTTTTTTTTTTTAAGATACTTCCATAGTATGTCCATAACCAGAAGTACCAATTGAAATCTAACTAAAATCTAATGTTTTTTGAGAACTTAGTGACATCTGCTTACTCAGTAGACATTTTTTTAATGCCTTTAACATGCTGTTATGAAAGGCACTGTGTTACATAAAAGTTACCCCTGCTATGCTAATGTTTATAATTGTGAGAGACAGATAATGAATGAGTAAACTGTTAAACATAATTATAAATGCAATAAATACATTGATGTAGACAAAGAGTGTGCAGTTAAGGAGAATAATGACAAGGAGAAGGACTCTTTAAAAAAGTAGCATGGTCAGAGAGGTGGCATTTAAATTGAAACGAAAAAATCAGGCCAGGAAAGAAAGTTGGTATTGAAAAGGCAACAGCATGGGCAATGTGAAATGCCCTTCTGCCCTAGGCCAGAAAAACCTAAATGAAGACCAGTATATGGTAGGGGAATAGTGTGTGGTCAGATCAGAGACTTGGGCAGGAGGCATAAGAAGAATAATTTTGGAGGCTGTGCTGCTGCTGTATGTGAAATGGATTGAAAGATTCAAAGGTGAAAGTGAGCAACCACTTGGAAGGGCTGTTGCAATGACAAGGGATCTAACGTGTGACACATTAAGCTGCTTTCGAAAAACATTGTTGATTCTAATCCACCAGCTGTATCTCAGGAGAAATAGAACTCTTTCTCCTTTCCTTAAGATGTACTGCCTTGGGAGCTGATGGAGGGTCACTATGAGTTAAGACTGACCCAGCAGCAGTAGGTTTTGATGTGTTGCCATGACTGACTTGAGATAATAGTTACTTGGACTGTGTTGAAGAAGTTGAGAACAGCAAAGACAAATATAAAATATTTCTAGTGCATGCACTAAGGCTTACAAAGATTAATTGTGGTTCTGTTGAGTTAGAGATAAAGCATGACACCCAAGCTTTAGACTTGCACTCTTATTGGATATTCATGTTATATTTATTTTTCTGTTTTGGCTGACTTAGTAGTACCTTCTCTCATTCCCCTCCCCCAGAAAAAATGTGTTTAATTTGCATTTATTTGATTGAGAACTCACTTATTGTGTTTTGTCCCAGTTAATATGTTGTATTTGGTTATTCTGGTTATACTTTTAATTGTTCAGTACATCTGTAGTGCTCTTACATTATGGATGGAGCGCTGGTGGCCTCATCCATAGAGTCATGCTGTTAACCCAAAAGGCGAACCTTCTGGTGGTTCAAATCTACTAGCGGCTTCAAGGGAGAAAAGGTGGACAGTCTTCTCCCATGCTTTTATAGTCTTGGAAGCTTAATGGAAGGTCAGCTATGAATTGGCTCTAACTCTTAGACAAGGAGGGTTTTTCTTAAAAAAGACTTCTTTTGGACTCTAGTTTAATCTAATTTAATTTAATCTATTTTATTTGAGGAAAAGTTTACAAATCACATTGGGGTTTTTTTCCAGACAATCATTTATAGGCAATAATTATAGATTACATTTCTTATTAACTGTTGTTTGCCGGGTGTTGGGTCTATTTTCCCCACACATGTTTTCTCATTGAATCCTTAAAAAATCCAGGATGGTAAATGTTGTTGAACCCATCTTAGAGGTGCGGCTACTGAGACTGAACATTAAGTCATTTTGTCCAAGTGATTGAGTTGCCCTTTAAACTTAGTCTAATAAGTATAAATTCTGGACTCTTCTCTTTACTAGTTACTAACTTCATTTTCACTGACGTAAACTAAGGGCAGAATTTGTATTTTTTTAATATGATGATAGATGGTTTCTTGGTGTAATGGCATAGTAAATAAATACTTAGTAACTTTATCTTGAATTGAAATGGCAGAGTGATGCCTAGAATTGAGTCTCCTTTAGATAGATGTTCTTATTCTGTTTCTGCATAAAATGTGGTAAACTGAAAGTTCTTGTCTTTAAAAGTCATTTTGACAGTAACTTTAAAGTGAAAACTTTTCTTTCAAGGACCTCCTCATTCTGCCTGTCTTCCTAACAAGACTATGGCTGATAACAGCAGTGATGAGTTTGAAGAGGAAAATAACAAGGTGCAGTATAACCCATGCTTTCTTGTTTGTGGAATTTCTGCTTTGAGCTTTCCTTAATTGGTTTGAGATGCACAAGCTCAGTAGTAAACACTCTTTAACATTCATCTGCAGCAATTGGGTACCCATGAGCTCATCAAGGAAAATGTAAGAAGTCTACAATTCTAACTCTCTTTCAAGAGTAAAGCCCACCCTTACAGTTGATGTTGTGGTGAGGAATTTCAGAGTGTAGAGCAGTGTTTCACAGATTTTGCTGATCATAAGAATGAATGGTAGATTAGATTAAAAAAAATACAGATTCGCCGTCTCCACTTAGAACTATTGAATCAGAATCTGTTAGAGAGAAGCTTTGGAAATAGTATTTTTAATGAGTGAAACCAGCTTATTCTTATAATCTGGCAAGTTTGGAATTAATGGCTTAGGCAATACTTCTTTAATGATGCTGCCGATATTTTGTAAAAGAGACAACGCTGGTATCCCTCTGCTGTTCTGTGAGCCTTAAGAATCAGTTCAGTTTCAAAAGAAAGGTCGGGAACTACCTACAGCTCCGGCCAGGTAGGATGTTAGTGTTGTGTGTGTGCTCGACTTAAATCATTCTGTTCCTTCTTTGCATACAAGTCCAGCTTGTATTTTAATTGTCCTTCAAGTACAGACACTGTAGATGATAAGGTGAAGAATATTTGAAGTAGTACAGATTTCTTAGAGATTAAAAAGTAACATTGTAAGGTGACTTCACTCACCGTTATTGTGCTATTGTACTTAAATATGGAAATGGAAGTGTAGAGGGAAGAAAATAGTCTGTTAAAACCTTGATTTCAGTACTTCTTATACTTGGGTTTTTATTTTCAAAACTGATAATACAGTGGATAAGTTCATATTGTTTTTACCATTTAAACAACAGGTAATTTTTTTAGGCATTTATCAGTGATATATAAGGCTTTCCCCATTATATCATGCTTGAGTTTTATAAAGAATTACTTGGAAAAAGTAGACAAAAGAAAAGTGAGCAATTCTCCTAAGTTGACCACCTGATTTTTATATATCTCCACTCAATTCTTTCCTCTTAGTCTCTTCCATGCTGTGACCAATACTCAAGGCATTTCTCTTCTCAGTTTAGATGCTCTCAGAATCAGCAGGGAGGTCTGTTTTCAAGTTGACAGTGATTTTAAAAGCTCCCCTTGCCAGAACTGTTAACTAGGAGATTAAGAATAAGTCTAGGAAATTTTGAATTAAGAACATTATAGTAGCTTCTTACCAACTGTGTAATGTTTTGGTGGCCTAGTGAATAGGGAGTTGTGCTGCTAACTCAACATGAGAAGTCTGAATCTACCACCTGCTCAGAGGGAGAAAAAGGAACATTCTCTTCCAGTGCGGTGTGTAGCTTCTGAAAACCTGCTGGAGGATCAGCCATGAGTCAATTCTGACTCGATGGGAATGAGTTATTGTTGTTCCACTGTATATTAATAAAGCTTAATCATTGAATAAATTGTACAGCTGTATGTCTTTAGGGAGCACTGGTGGCCTAGTGGTAAAGAGCTGCAAGAAGGCACGTGGTTTTAATTCACCAGCTGCTGCAAAGGAGAAAGATGGACAGTCTCCTGTGTGATTTACAGCCTCTAAAACCCCCCTGGAGGGTGTTGAGGGTCAACTATGAGTCGGTTCCAGCTCCATAGCAGAGAACAACACTATGTGCTGTTATCTGTCAAACATATTACCAGTTGGTTAGAATTTCATCTGTGTATAATCAGTATTAATTTTAGAGGAAATTATGGTCAAACACAATTTGTATTCTGTAGAATGTCATAGTTTTATGTGCCTCTAACTCTTTTAACAAAAAACAAAATATTAAACTATTTATTAAAACTAGAACTAAGTATTTGTTCGTTTCAGTATAAACCATATGAACACTAAGCTTTTAAGACCTACTTTTTAAAGGGGACCAATTGGTCATCCTTCAGGTTCTAAGGGAGGGCATGCCACAGGCTGCAGGCCACAGAGGCAAAGACACGGACCCCGTCCCATCTGCCCCTACGAGCCCCAAGCACCAGGCCCCTTCTCATGGACTTGAGAGGGTGGGATGGTATGTAGAGAGCCAGAAGCTCAGAAAGGTAGGTTGTAATGCCAAGAACATACTAGTCTCTTATTTGAAATAGAATATATAGGCACTGCATTTAATTTATGGGGGAAGAGAAGAGAAATAGGAATAGGCTAGATTCTCTTTGGAGAAAAATATCACCAAATAGGAATGGAAAATGTATTGTCTTTGGATCTGCTGATCAGAATTCAGGTATAGTTTTGAGTAGAAACTTTTACCCCCATGGCTATAAGCACCTTATTGTGGGCTATCTCACAAATTAGATACTAAGTTCTCTTCCTATGATCTTCTAAAACTTATCCTTCCTGCTTCATCTTCTGTTTCCCTGTTTCCATACAAAATAATTAAGAGTTTCCACCCTCTAGAGTGAGTCCCAAATTTTAGGGTTGAATGAGACTGGATAGTTTATGTGGAACTCTCTAGAGCACTTAAGTGACAGGTACAGTAGACTTAAAGCAGAGTCATTATACCTGTTCCTCAAGAAAAGAAATACAATGTGGTTATAGAAAGTAAGAGCCCTGCCTATAGTTGAGCAGGAGTAGAAGGCTCTTGAACCCCCTCTGGGGGGGTGCCACCCTGCTTTTCTGGTGATTTGGGGCCAGGTGGTGCAGTATAGTTAAAACGGTAGGAGGGAACTAGGCAAGGTAAATTCAAAGTTCTCTTTATGTGACTTGACAATGCCCGCCCTGCCCTCCCTCAGGAGAAGAAGAAGACCTCACAGTTGACACCTCAGCGGGGCTTTAGTGAAAAGGATGATGATGACGATGATGATGACTCATCCGAAACAGATTCTGATGAAGATGATGATGATGATGAACATGGAGCCCCTCTAGAAGGGTGAGAAGAGACTCATTGCCAAGGACACTAAAGGCAGGGAGGAAATGTGTCTTTCAGAACATTCTTTTGATTCCTTCTATTTAGGATTTTCAGATGTCTCACAAACACAGCATAATGAGTTCTCATTTCTTTCTGACTCCACTGCCTCATTGAGTCTTATTTAAAATATTTGTAAACTTGGGGAATGTATGAAGTTTTTCTAAGTAAATATATAAGATGGCCCCTGCTTTCCAGGAGCCCACATCCTGGGGAAGAGAAAATAGACTTATATTGTTCATAAGGTCCCTATGAGTCTTAGTCAACTGAAAAGCACCTAACAAGAGTGTAGCAAGGAAAACAATATATATGCACACAAGCGTCTCTCTTTTCAACTCAGATCCCTTTGGCATAGGTAAAGAAGAGATGCTTCAGGAGCCCATCTTGAAGTAAGATCTTCCTGGAGAAGCTTTTTAAAAAAGTTATTATAGTGAAGTCACAAAACAAATGAGTTTCCCATTCAATACACAATTTGTTTTATGACATTAAGTCTAATCTAAATGTAATCACTGTCTTCTCACTTCTTCCCTGTGATTCTCATTTCTATTAATCCTTCCATCCTAACCCTTCCTGTCTTCTGGGCTTTATTGAACAAGTACTGCCCTTCTGACCTTCTGTGGTTGGCGATTCTGAGGAGTAGGAGTGTCCCTGATGGTTCCCATAATAGGCCTCTCTCTTACTTGGCTAAAAGTGAAGCCATGGGGTGAGTTTTGCTTTGATTTCTCCTGGACTAGGCATAAAGGCATAAATTAAAGCCTCACTTTTTTCCAGTCCTGCAGGCTGATTAGTCACAACCTTTGAATTTTGATCAAAATGGATATAAGGCCCAGCCATTTAAAATTTAAAAGTTAGTGGTTAAACAAATGATGGATAGCCAGTTAGTGGAATTCTGTCCATTCAAGTATGAGGTAATTTGTGCATTCTCATTCATTACTTTGAGTTGGAACAGACTTATAGCTGACCCTCCTCTGGCTTTCTTAGTCTGTAAATTGCATAGGAGGAAACTGCCTGTCTTTCCTTCACGGAACTGTTGGTGAAATCCAGCAGCCAGCAGGGGTGGTCTTTGGGTGAGTAGCACACCTTCCTACGGACTGTGCCACCAAAGCTCCTAGATTCATTACTGAGGAATAATCTCTTAAGAAATATTATCACATTTTTAAAAAAGATATAAAAGAGTATTTATGGTGTGTTTTTGTGAATATTAAAAATTATATCTGAAGGATATACTGAAATTTAAGAACACCAGTTACCTTTGGTGTAGAGAACTTAGACACAGGTGGGAGGGAGATTTAGCTTTTTATTGTATACTTTTCCTTCCTCTTCTTTTGTATCATACATATGCATCACTTATTAAATAAAGCAGTCTGATAAAAATAGGCAAATATCTAACTTCCAGGCTGATTTCCCATAATCAGCTGTATTCTGAGGAAACGTAAATTATAAGTCATTAATTTTTTTATTAAGCAACATCCTCCAAAGAACCTTATTAATAACTCATAAGGTGTTTTACTTCCTCAATAATATTCATTACATTTTACTTGATTATAATTAATCTTCTATGTCTTGCTGTTTTTCCCATATAGTATGCATTTTCATATATCAGCATAACTTATATGTACTTGTTAAATGATTTTTATTCATTTCTATATACTTAATCATCTCCCAAATCTTAGATATTTTATTTCCTCTGAGATTTTACTATTATAAATAACATTGTTCAAAGCAACTTTATGAAAACTTTTTTATGGGATAAACTGTATGTAGGGAATTTAAATCCCATATTCTACCTTCTGTTTTCATCTCTTTCAGTCACAAAGAGAAAAAACTTTGTATGTTACACTCTAAAGTCGAAGAAAATTATTTACATGTTTCTTTAGCTATTTGTCATTGTCCAACATAGTTGAGAGTTAATTATAATACATATTAAAGTTGCCTTGGAACTGCCCTTCCCTTTAAAAATTTTTTTTAAAAACCAAGCAAAGTACCTAGTGAAGGAGGCTGTAAAAAGAGCAAGGATAGTTTGGGGACACTGGAGTCTGACCTCTACAAACTCCACAAGGGGGAACTGCCCCTAGCAACAACATTCACTCCGCACACTAATTCCCATGAGGTCAGCAATGTCCTCCCACACTCATGCACCACACCCACCTACTGCACTGCACCCACCTACAGGGTCCTAAATATATTGCAGTGACCACTCAGTGTTTACAGAACCATACTCATGTTTATGGTGTTTGCAAGATATAATCTCTGAGTCCAGACAGTGTCTCAGTTACGAGCTAGATACAGTCCCTGGCACAGGAATCTCTGGCCGTGAAGGGATGCACACTGTATTTTTTTTGGTTCTTCTTCTTCTTATGTTTAGATACCCAGTTTCTGCTGCTGAATCTGCTCAGTGTAATGGTTAGCTGAGCCAGTCCCCTTGTGGATAGCTGAATACACTCCATTTGCATGAGGAAGAAATGGCTCATACAGCTGTTGATGTAGGCAGGTCACATATTTTCAAAGCAAGTAGAGTTGAGGTAACTGGACCAGATTAAAGACAGTGGTCTAGGAAGCCAAATGTTTAGCAATAGACCCACTACACCATAGAGGCAAAAGGTAGATGCAGCAATGTCTGATTGATCTCATTCTGCTATCAGAGATATCACAAGTGTATGGCTTAAACAAACAGAAATTTACTTTCATTCCATTTGAGAGACTAGAAGGCCAAATTCAGGGTGGTGTCTGCTGTAGGCAAAGGCCCTATCTGTCGGTTGTGGAGGAAAGCCCTTGTTTCCTTCAGCTTTAAGCTAGGTGTCCTCTGGAGCCCTCATGTATTCTGGCCTTTGTCAATGTCAAGGAGTCTTCTTGCACAAGTGCCTGGCTTCCACAGGACAGACTTCCACTTCTGGTGATTATTTCCCGATTGGTCTGAGCACCCCCCCCCCACCCCATGCCAGTACCAGCTTGCTTTATTTTACTGACATCAGCCTAGAAGAACTCCCTGTTAACATCTAATTAGATTGTCATGGGCTTTGGGAGTGTGACATTCCACCATTAATCCTCCTTCAATGATTTGGTTTATCAGATAATGGAGGATCATTGTTTAGCTTCCACATTATATACATGTATTTTTGGTGGGGGCCACAGTTAAATCCATGACAGGAGTCATGTATTCTGAGATAGAGTAGCACATAAGCTAAACCAGGACGGTGTAATATTCATTCTTGGCTTCCAGTCTCTAGTGGTCTTTTTCTTTCCCCAGGGCCTATGATCCTGCAGATTATGAACATTTGCCAGTTTCTGCTGAGATTAAGGAGCTTTTTCAGTATATCAGTAGGTAAGTGACTAGATCCTCCCATCGTCCTTCCACCTTGTCCCTAATAATTCCTTCTAGTCTGAAATAAGGGAGCTATGGTGGCTTTAGTGGTAAGGAGCTGTATTGCCAACCCAAAGGCGTTTGAATCCACCAGTTGCTCTACAAGAGAAAGATAGAAAGATGGACAATCTCCTGTGTGTTGTACAGCCTCCGAAAACCTGCTGAAGAGTCAGCTATGATTTGGTTCTGACTCGACGGCAGTCTGAAAAGACTACTTTAGATTTATTTATTTATTTATTTTTTTAGCCTGAATAATAATGTAATTTTCTGCTGGTTTTTCTCCATCTTCCTTTGGCAATATCTCATTAGGTACACACCTCAATTGATTGAGCTGGACCACAAACTGAAACCTTTCATTCCTGATTTTATCCCAGCTGTTGGGGATATTGATGCATTCTTAAAGGTACAGTCAGTACATTCTTTAAAAAATTATTCTGACCTCTTTGTTTTGCTAACAATTTCACCAGCTTCCTTGACTGTTGTTGATATTGTTGAGTTACTTCCAACTCACAGTGATTCTGTACAACAGAACAAAACACTGCCCAGTTCTATACCATCCTTGATAGGTTTGAGCCCATTGCTACAGCTCCTGTGTGACTGCATTTCATTGAAGGGTTTTTCCCTCCTGACCCATACATTATGAAGCATGAGGTCCTTGTCCAGGGACTGGTCCCTCCTGATACCATGTTCAAGATACAAGCATGGCTCATTTTATTGTGCTCTACTTTCTGTACCTCAGATACTGTGTTTTTTACAAATTGAAGGTTTTATAGCAACCCTGCAGAGAACAAGTACATCAACAGTGTTTTTCCAACAGCATGTTCTCACGTTGCATCGCTGGGCAACATTTTGATAATTCTCAAAATATTTAAAACTTTTTAATATTGCTCTTGCATCGTTCTTAGACTACAGTGTGGTTTAACATAACTATATGCCCTGGGAAACCAGAAATGTCCTGTGACTCACTGTGCTGTGACAGTCAATTGGTTTGGGTGGTCTAGAACTAAACTGACAGTTCCTGTGAGGTATGCCTGCTTGTGAGACGACGGCTCACCACCTCACTTCTAGGGACCCTTCTGGCTATACTTCTTCTGAGACAGATTTCTTCTTCTGGCAGTCTGCAGTGTAGTCAGTATTCTTGACAACACATAATTCAATGGCATCATTTCTTCTCTTTTTTTAAAAAAAAATTATTTTATTAATTTTAATGAACATTTACAGAGATTTTGGATTTCCATTTATTCATTGTTGCATTTTTCTCCCTCCGCCCCCCCACCCCCCAGTTCGCTCCTCTCTTTGAAAAGTAAAATTCTTTTTTTGGTATACAATCCTCCCACATCCCTCCCACTGCCCGGAGTACACTCCACTATGCAACCTTAATTCTGGACTCTTGTGATAACCATAATACCCTATCATATATCGCTTTTAAATGTTCTCTCCCTCATCTGTTTCAATGCAGTATACATAATTTATCCAGTTGTTCTCAGTCCTACCCCAACCCTGATGTCAGTCCCATTCTACAACAGTGGCACCATGCAGTATTTGTCCTTTTGTGACTGAGATATTTCACTCAGCATAATGTCCCCCAGAGTCACCCATTTTGAATAATATTGCATGAGTTTCTTGTTTTTCAATGCAGCATAGTACTCCTTTGTGTGAATATACCACAGCTTCTCTATCCATTCGTTTGTGATGGGCACTTAGGTTGTTTCCAACTCCTTGCTATTGTGAACAAAGCCATGATAAACATGGGTGTGCATATATCTGCCTGGATGTCCGTTATATTCCCCGTATTGGTATATTCTCAGTATTGGAATTGCTGGGTCAAATGGTATCTCTATTTGTAATTTTTTTTATAGTCATTAGTTTTCTTTATTAGATTACATAGTACTATAACTTGGTTACTAGTTTCATTTTACAAAAGCCAACCGTAGTGTCTGCATTTGGTTGACTGTTGAAGACTTATATAAACTCAAACATATCATAGAGAATAAAAACATTTTCAGAAAGAAACATTCTGAGTTTTCTTATATTATGATCACCTCTAGAACTGTAACTCAAAGTCTTTAAAAATGTTGCTAGATAATTTTATTATACTAAAGCAAATGTAAGTCAATATTAAAAGACACTCTTCATAAAGTCTATATAACCCTTAATTCTTTTTTTTCCTAATTTTTAAAAATTTTATTTTAATAATTTTAATGAACATTTATAGAGATTTTGGATTTCCATTCATTCATTGTTGCACTTTTCTCCCTGCCCAGCCCTCCCCCTCACCCCCCCATTTGCAACTTTTTGAGAAAGCACCACATGACTTTCCACAGTGGTTGCACCAATCATTTCTTTGTTGTGTTAAGTGCCATCAAGTCATAGGCGACTCATAGTTACCCTATGAACCAAAGTCCTTGACACGTGCGTGCGTAACTTTCATCCTTGCTCCAGGTTCATAGGGTTTCCGGAGGCAAGCTATAGTTATGGAAGTGGATACCACTCCTGCTTCCATGCTTGTTTCAACCGGGGAGCGCCACCAAACACTGTCCACCATAGGTAACCATATCATATTTGATTCATCAGTGTCACAGTGTTCAGCTTCACAGCGACCACAAGTTACCTCTGTATGGCAAGTGGATACACCAGGGCTATACAACCTAGAAGACTGTTTGAAAAAAAAATAATGAAAAACAGGCCTGAGAGCCGTGGATTAGCGTCACCCACCTTTGGCTTGGTAGCACCGCTTTTGGTCCACTAGGCCAACTGGTCTCTCTCTTATGTCGTCTTCTTTAATCACTTTCCAATCTTTTTTTTTCCCCCCAATCTTTTAAATGCATAATGTTGAAATGGAAAATGCCATGGCTTAGGTCTGGTAAAACTTAGTCCCCAGAGTGATTATCTTTGTTTTTTTTAACAACAACAACAACAATTATATATGTAGTCTTCATTTCATTTTTAACCTTGTTCTTTACCCCAAGTTACACTCATTGCTCTTAGATAGTACTTCTCACATAAAACTTTTCATGCATTGCCTCTTAACTGACCATGGCATCAGCTTTGTATTTCATCTCCTATTATCATGTATGTTTTTCTAGATGGTATTTAGTACAGTATGATTTACACGAATGCTTTTTAATACTAATGATGAACATTGCTTTCTCTTCTCCTTATTTGAAACTGCACTTGTATCCCTATAGTCTGCGTCCCATTTTTCTCTGTCCTTTCTTTCTTTTCCCTTCACCAGGTCCCACGTCCTGATGGAAAGCCTGACAATCTTGGGCTGTTGGTATTAGACGAGCCTTCCACAAAGCAGTCAGATCCCACTGTGCTCTCCCTCTGGTTAACAGAGAATTCCAAGCAGCACAATGTCACGGTAAGACACTAGCCTGTGCAAGCCCCAGCTGAAGTGGCTGAGAGCCGGAGCCTCCCTTGCATTTCTCGGGTTGGCTTATCATCAGTAAGGATTGCCATAGTTTCAGCTCGGTGCTTTTATTTTTGGGTGCAGATAGACAACAAGCTTAGCTTTAAACCAAAAGGTTGGAGGTTTGAGTTTATCTAGGGACACTTCAAAACAAAGTCCTGGTGATGTTTACCAAAAAAATCAGCCATTAAGGGAGCTCTGGTGGCCCAGTGGCAAGAGGCTGCACTGTAGTCCCAGAGGCATGCAGTTCAAATCTACCAGATGCTCTGCTGGAGAAGGAGGGGCAATCTCTTCCTACACCAGCTGGATCCAATTTGACGGTACACACCCCACACACACACACCCCAACCATTAATAATTCTGTGGAATGCTCTTCTACTGTGAGCACACACGGGCTTGCTGTGACTGAGGGCCAATTCGGTAACAACCAGCTGGTTTTTATTTGTTGTGTTTTATTTATTTTAAAAAAATTATTTTAGCCCTATTTTTTGTAACAGCTACTTTTAAAAATATTTATAATCCATGAAATTCACCATTTTAAAATACACAAGTCCATCATTTTTAGTTTGTCCGTAGAGTTTTGTACTCATCACAACTATAGCTAATTTTAAAACATTTTCATCATCTCACCAGACACCTCACATCCATTAGTGGTCGCTGTCCCTTTCCCATGATCCTCTCCCCTCATAACTACATCATTCTGTTTTATGACTAATTGATAGTTCATTGTATGGTTATATCACATTTTGTTTATCCATTCACCTGTTGTTTCTGCTTTTATTAATACAAGTCTTTGAGTGGACATACATTTCAACTTTTCTTGGATACATATGTAGGAGTGGAATGACCAGGTCATGTACTAACTCTGTGGTTCATGTTTTGAGGAACTGCCAAATTGTTTTCCAAAGTTACTGCACCATTTTACAAAACCTCCAGGAATGAATGAGAGTTCCTATTTCTTTAGCCTCTCTCAGTCCTTGTTATTGTTTGTCTTTCCATCTGTAGCCCTTCTGAGTGGGTGTGAAGTAGCACAGTGTGGTCAGTCCAGCCCTGTTGACTTGCACCCTGTCCATAGCCCTAGCATGTTCTGTCAAGGTTTCCTATAACCTTCATTTGGTTACTCTCAGGCTTCCCTTTTCAAAGGGAACCCTTGTGTGTCAGACACCAGATTTGATGGAGCTTCTCTGCTGAAACAAGAGAGCTGCTTCAGTGCTGCCAGCAAAACTTTACCCTTATTTTTCTAGCAACATATGAAAGTAAAGAGTCTAGATGATGCAGAAAAAAATCCCAAAGCCATTGACACATGGATTGAGAGCATCTCTGAGTTACACCGTTCTAAGCCCCCTGCGACTGTGCATTACACAAGGTAAGAAAATTCTAATGCTCCCACAGTGACCCACACTACTTTTCATTACCTCTGAGACTGTCACCCTTGAGAAGAGACCCAACAGCTTGGGCTGTATTTCATCTACCCAAGGTCCTATGGGTCTTAGTTACAGACTCAGATTGCAAACAGAAACATTATGATTTACTTATCACTGAGCAAACTCCTTCAAACCCTCGGCCCTGGTTAAGTTAGGTTTTCCAAAACTTAGGCTCTCCTGAAATCCTGGTATCTCCAATGAAGAGCCTCTCTTTCTTCCTAGAATATTTTTTTATTATACGGTTTTATTATTATTATTAATTTTCATGAAAATTTACAGAGATTTTTGGATTTGTATTCATTCATTGTTGAACTTTTCTCTCTGCCCACCCCTACCCTCTACTTTGTTCTTCTCTTTGAAAAATAAAAGAAAAATTCTTTCATTGTTATACAATCCCTCCCTCCAAGTCCATTCCACTATGCAGACTTTGTTCTGGATTCATGTCATGAGAATAATATCTAATCATATATACGTTTTAAACACTTCTCTCTCTCATCTGTTTCAATGCAGCATACATATTTATCCCATGTTCCCTTTAACAACAATGGCACTATGCAGTATTTGTCCTTTTGTGACTGAGATATTTCACTCAACATAATGTCCTCCAGGGTCACCCATTTTGAATAATATTTCATGAGTTCCTTGTTTTTCAATGCAGCATAGTATTCCGTTGTGTGAATATACCAGAGCTTCTCTATCCATTCGTTGATGGGCACTTGGATTGTTTCCAGCTCTTTACTATTGTGAACAAAGCCACAATAAACATGGGTGTGCATATATGTGCTTGGGTGGCAGTTATGGTTTCTTTAGGGTAAATTCCCAGTGGAATTGCTGAGTCAAATGGTATTTCTTTTTTTTGTTAATTTTTTTAAATTATTATTAAATTTTATTAGTTTTAGTGAACATTTACAGAGATTTTTGGGTTTTCATTCATTCATTGTTGCACTGTTTTCTCTACCCTCCTCCCCAGTTCGTTCTTCTTCCCCCGCCCCCAAATGTCTGTTTTAATTGTACAATTGCCACAGTGCTTGTCGAAGCCAGTTCTGATTAATCTCCTTTGTCAGTGTGTCCTTTGCCATTCCCTATCTCTCCTCCCTGAGAGAGCCTTCACCCTGATTCATAAGGAAAAGGGGATGGCATATTCTCTTAGCTACTTTGTGCTGAAAAGGGACACTGTAGGTTTCAGGGTGAAGGTCTTCTCTCACTACTCTAAAGGGCCCCTTTGGCAGTAGGAAACACATAGACTATTATGGAGATTGATTTTGGAATTTAGATTTACTGTTATCATTTGTGCTTAGCCGTACATGTTCATATCCTTGAAGATGTATCATGGAAGTGTTGCAGCCTAGAAGACACAAATTTAACTAACAAGTTAAAAGTACATGAGTCAAAAATTAAAAAGCAATAATATTCCGAGTAGAGGTTCTAATAGTGGCACAAATCAAGTTACAGAGGGAAGGTGGTTCTTACAATAAAAGACCTATAGACTAGCACTTTGTCTATTATAGTGTAGAGGCTAGGAACCACAAGATGTAGAGGCTCAGCTATGTCATTTATGGTTCTTAAGTCCTAGAGCAAATTCTATCTACCACTGGGTTGTTTTACAACTTGGAAGTTCGAATGCAAGGTAGAGGTAAAGTAAGGAACTGCTTATGAGGTTTTCCGTCCATTCCAACAACTAAGAAATAGTGAGAAAAGTTGGGACCTCAGAAGGCTTTTAGGACCAATTAGTAGGCTCTGTGTCCAGGAGAAAATGAATATACTTACCGGTAATGTTAATGCTCACCCACAGCTCTTCTGGGAGGGTCTAAATCATTGAAGCTCAAATGGTATTTCTATTTGCAACTTTTTGAGAAAGTGCTATACTGCCTTCCATAGTGGCTGCACTCATCCTAGAATATTTTGACTCATAGGTTACTGATATCCTCCGTGTGTCTTTCTTTTCCATATTTAATTCTGTACTTTTAGGCCTATGCCTGATATTGACACGCTGATGCAGGAATGGTCCCCGGAGTTTGAAGAACTTTTGGGCAAGGTGAGTAGAGAGTAGTAGGAGCAAAAAGAAGATAAGACTTTCACCATAGGGTTTTCCCAGTGGGTTCTCCTTGTCCTTGTTCTTATTGTCCTTGCTGCGTGTCATTGAGTCTATTTTGATGTATAATGAATGACCCAACAGGAAGGAATAGAACTGTGCCATACAATTTCTTAGGTTAAAATCTATATGGGAACAGATCTCTTATTTTTTTTCTCCCTTTTGTGGAGCAGCAGATGGATATGAACTGCTAACCTCTTGGTTAGTAACTAAGCACTTTAACTGTTGTGTCACCAAGACTCTTCCTCATTATTATCTCTTAAATTGAAGTAAAATTTACAATCAGAGAAATACCCACATCATAAATCTACAATGCAGTCAGTGTTCACCAGCTGAAGATACTTGTGTAGCCAGCACATTGGTTTAAATAATTTCTAGCACCCTAGACATCCCCCCGTTTTCTCACTACAAGGTATCCCCTCTCCTGATTTCTAACAGGTAGATTAGTTTCACTTACTTTTGTACTTTATTTAAAACATTGCTGCACACTTTTAAATTGATGATCGTGCTTAGAAACACATTTCTCCACCCCTCACCCCCCACCCCCTGAGGTATTGCCGTCATTTGCAGCAATGTATTAAACTGAGTCATACAGACTAGGCTCTTTTATGTCTTTTTCCTTTTGTTCACGTTCTCAAAACCAATCATGATAATTTAGGAAAGAGAAAAATGGAAGATTTGCCAACAGAAGCATATAAAATGGTAGAAAGGGTAAGAGCCAAATATATAGTGGCACAAAATAATCCATAAACAAACCCATGCATATGTGGGAATTTGGTATAGAAGAAAGGTAATATTTTAAATGAGAAGAGGTAGAATGAAATTGTGGTGAGGTGATTTGCTATCCATTGGTGAAAAACATGTATCTGTGTTAACCATATGTTGTTGCTGTGTGCTGTCGAGTCGCTTGTGATTCATAGCAACCCTATGTACAATAGCTCTGAACCCTGCTTATCCTGTGCCAACCTTGTTGCTGACACATCTGCCCTCATTACCCCAATCACTGAATCAATCCATCTCATCCAGGGTCTTCCTCTCACACGTTGTCCCTCCACCCTTCCAAACATGATGTCCCTCTCTAAGGACTGGTCCCTCCTGGCAACATGTTTAAAGAATGTCAGATGGAGCTTCAGAATCCTTGCCTCCAAGGAGCAGCCTGGTCTCACACTCTCCAAGACAGACCCGTTTGTTGATGGTCAATGATACATTTAATATTCTTCTCCAGCATCACAACTCAAAGGCATCAATTCTTATTCTGTCATCCTTAGAGATTTTCCAGCTCTCTGATGCATAGATTACTGAAATCCAAGTGAATTAAAGAGCTAATGTAATTTTTTTTTTAAAAAGGTGGAGAGTCAGGAACAAGAGGAGGTGATAGGATGTGTGACTAGTGGCCTCCATGAGCAGTTACCAGCAGATGCACTTGGTGCCTGGCTGCATTCACAGATCCTGTGACCAAAGATTCTATTGAAGAATCCTGATCAAAAAGGAGAAGATGCAGAACATAATTTAACTTTTTCATGGGCTCCAGGCTTTATGGAGTAGTAGAGGCTAAGTGAACACCAAAACCAAGATAATATTTTCATTTTAAACCATAAAAACCACCCTGATATCTTAAAATCAAATAGTAGCTTAATAGTAAAGAATGTCTGTGTTGAGCCTTATGCCCTTGTGTGATCTGTCTATACATAATCAAATGAGTAGCAATTTGAAAGGTTAGATAGGAAAATTAAGGGACAGTGAATTATGTTAATAGTGAGGCTGTGACTCAGAAAATGAGGGTGAGAATGGTTGTACAATTTGAAGATGTGATCTGTCACTAAATTACACAGGTTGAAATTGTTGGATTGATGTGTGTGGTATGTATATTCTCAATAACAACAACCAAAATAATATTATAAAAATAAACACAGAGGGGAAAAAATGATTAAAAGTCATTGGTTTTTAAGTTTACAGTAAGATTCTTTTTTATAGGTCCAAAACTTTAAACTTACAGAATTTTTTATTTATATGAGTATAGATATATTAATTTTTTCTGTTCATATAGGTGTCCGGGTGCCATTAAACATTATAATTCTTCATTAATCAACAAAGGAAGAGCTGTGGCAATATATTTTATTATGAAGTACTTTTCTCTTGGCAGATCATTTGCTGTTTTAATAGTTAATGAGTATCACCAACTCTGTTTAACTGGTCAGGAGGAAAAAAAAGTCCTTTGCTTGGCGAAGTGTGTTTTTTTGGTTCGATTTTTTTATGGAAATGACTCTTGCTATGAACCAGTGAAATGTCGGCCTTTGATTTGAGTCTGACTGCTGTTCCTTCCAGGTGAGCCTGCCCACTGCAGAGATTGATTGCAGCCTGGCAGAGTACATTGATATGATCTGTGGTGAGCACCCCACCCCTGCCCCATAGTCTTCTACCCCATGCCCCCAACCCACCCTGGGCTCGGCATACATTTATTTCAGGCTTTTAAAAGGTTTGTTTACTCTGAGAAGATAGCGTCTTGAGTTACAGCCAGTTGTTTTGTCTGGTAATACCTAGGGGTAATGTTTGGGTGTAAGTGACTATCTACTTGGGTATAATACCCCCCAAAGTGATAGGAGTCATCCACAGAGGGGATTGGTGATCCTAACAGGAATACCCCATGATTTCCATGTTTCAGCTGGACTTGTTAATGGATATTCTTTTTCATGTCAGCCATCCTAGACATCCCTATCTACAAGAGTCGGATCCAGTCCCTCCACCTGCTATTTTCCCTCTACTCTGAATTCAAGAATTCACAGGTAAGACCAGCATCAGGGATTAGCCAAAGTTGTACTGTGGAGCTGTGTGTGATTGTGTGCTGTGGGTCTGCAGGACGTTTCTGCCTTCAGGTTCCGTGACTCTCTCATTAGCCCTGTAATTAGAAAGCAATGAGGAGGCAGGAGTGGAGCTTTCATAAGAGGGAGAGCGTGTGAGAGATGTGAGGCTCACGTGAGGCCAGGTAAGAACCCACAGAACACACATTCTTAGAGGAGAACCAAGTAGCGTGATGAACAGAAGTGTGATTAAAGAGGAAAAGGGGGTTTTACTGAAGGGAGGTGTGGCAAATTTCTGAATGTTTTTCAGAAACTGCATTATTAAGAAGTTGTTTTAGAAATGGATTTGAGAAGAAATTAGTATTTAAAGGATTGTGAACAGGTTAGTTCTTGTTAAATGTAGCAGCACATTCCAAATCCTCATTGTCCCCTCTCCTTTCTTGACAGCATTTTAAAGCTCTGGCTGAGGGCAAGAAAGCATTCACCCCTCCATCCAACTCTGCCTCCCAAGTGGGAGATGCAGAGACCTTGGCCTTCAGCTAAGACACCTCCCAAGTCTGTTTCGGGATCAGCCTGGATCTCTTCAACTCTGAGAACGAGAGGTCATCATCAGCCTGCCTGGCTTCCTTGCTGAGTCTCAGCTTGATGCAGGGACACTTCCCGGATTCCATCTGCCAGAGCACAGCAGATGTATGTTAAGTGGCTTATGACTGTCTCTGATTTGCTTCCTTTAGGAGTTGCTCTTCTACACCACTGTGAAGATTTGAGTTAGAGTTGCAGTTTTGACGATCATAAGAAAGAAACTCAGATTGGGAGGAAAGTGTAAATAAGATGTTTATTTTGGATGGGAGTGGAATGTTCTATTTCATTCTTAATGTTTATTGTCAAAGATTTTATAAATAAAATTTTTCCAGGTTATTTTGCTCTTCTAGAATAAAATGTTTATTGAGCTTGAGACAGAGATAAGGTTTTGGCTTAGTGAAAGACATTAAATGACTAAGAGTTTGAATAACCAATTTTGTTGAATTTTCCAAAGCTGGCATGAGGAGGAATAACTTTCCTCTTAGAGTTTCATTTTTCCACAGGTCCCTTTACAGGCTCCTTCCTGTCTCGCTCCAGGGCCGTTTGGTTTGGTTTCAGGGAGACAGCAACCATTGTGGTCCCAGTGAGCGAGAACTGTGCCCTGAGGTAGGGCAGTGATAGTGGACAGACTGGGCAAATCTTTGGGAAGTTACATTGGCCAAGCTCCAGTTAAGAAATCAAATCATGTTAATTAGGTCTAACAAAGGGGGTTTAATAAAGGAACTTGGTTGCAAAGGTGTTGAAGGGCTGAAGGAACAAAAGGGAGGCTGGAGGTGGTTGCACTGCTGGTGCTGGAAGCAGAAGACGTGTTACTGTAGCTGGGTCTTGAATGGCTGAGAGGTGCCATCCTACAGCCTCGAGTCAGCAGCCGTGCACCACTGCTGCTGCTTCCTCCCTCCCACTTTGTCATCTTCCCTTCTTCCAGGGCTTCACATCGGGGGGAGTTAGCAGCAGGCAATATAATGTGTAAAATAGAGTTGTGGGGCTCCCAGCACCAGCTGTACAACACAGAGTATAGAACAGACTGTATGGGCCTGAGAAGCAACAGATCAAAGTAACCAGCAGAGGTGACAGGGAAGCCACAGAAATTGGTGATGGTGCGAGTGTGGGGGAAGGATGGGAAGAAAGCAAGGGTTACTGTCTTGACTGGGGCAACTGAATGGATAATGGAGCCAAGCACTGATGGGGAGATATAGGGTGTGAATTAGTTGGAGAGTAAATTATGTGAAAATGCTCACAGTTGGTAACATGTTAAGTGCCATAAAGTTAGAGATGACGCATAGCAACCCTACGAATGAAAGTCTTGAACACAAAACTTTCATCTTTTTTCCAAGTTCATAGATTTTCAGGAGGCAAGCTTTTTGTGGAAGTAGATGTCACTCTTGCTTCCAATCCTGTTTTATTCAGGAGATCCACAAAAAAGCAGCTCGCACCCTATTGTGAGCAACAGCCAAACCTTAGTTTCAACCCCAAACCAGAAAACACAACTTAGCAGAATCCGAGCCAGCGGTTCTGCTCATCTTCAGGCTAGAGGGGAATGGTTTTCTTTTTTTTTTCTTTAAATTCTTTGTGTGTGTGCCATCGAATCAGATCCAACTGGTACAGGAGGAGATTGCTCATCCTTTTCCAGCACAGCATCTGGTGGATTTGAACTGCTTGCCTTTGGAATTGCAGTGCAACTTTTTGCCACTAGGCCACCAGAGCTCCGGGAATGGTTTTCTTACAGATTCTTAAAACAGCTATGTTCCCATCCTGTTTGGATTTGAAGAGCGGGAACATCTACATTCTTGAGCTCAAGTCTCACTTGACCCCACAGCAGGCCCCTTACTCCACCGAGACAGGTACCACTAATGCTCACATTTAACTCACCGGGGAAGGATGGAGGCATAATGTGATGGATACTCAATCAAATAAGCCATTAAGTTTTCAGGAACAATGAGATTGCCTTCTTGGCCAGAGCTGAGACGGCACTAATGCTTCATGCCTAAGTGAATGGTTAATGCACTATCCTCTCCTAATACCAGCACATCCACCCCGCCTCTCTGTGGTCATCTTTGGACACCACTTTCATCGTGGCCTCTCCGCTCCTCTTCAGCAATCCACAGTTACTCTGTCCCGGCCACTTGCTTGGTGGCCCTGCGTGAAGTCAGTTATTCTGTGCCACAATCAACCTATCTATGAAACCGTTTTAAAGCACTAACTCAGCCTCATAAGGTCTTTTTTTTTTCTCCCCATGGGTAAAGATAATAAGACATCTGAAATTATTAAGTAATTAAATATTAAGTAATATTTAAGGTCATTATGTTACTAAGAAAACATTTTCAGCTTGGTCTCTCCGGCTTTCTACTTGACTGCTCACTTCCTACCCAGAGTTTCATTTCCATCATTCCCTAGTGTGAATTCTGCTCCTGCAGAACTAACCTGCTGCCTCTGCTGTGCGTGACTCATGCGTTTCCTCTGGGAACTGAGCCTTTAGATGGATGGGCTGTTTGTCTTGTTTGAAATGCCACTCACCCTCTCTGTGATCCTTGGCTTTAGAAAGTTCCAAATTCGCAAAAATCAAACATATATAATCCCTCCCTCCTTGAGCCCCATTAAAAGGACAGTAGAAACCAAAAACCAAACCCACTGCCGTTGAGTCATATTGTTCTTAAGCACCATCCAGTCAACTGTGACTCACAGTGACCCTGTGAATCACAGATCCTTGCTCTGTCCTTCACTATCCTCACAATCTTTGACATGCTCAGCCTTATAAAGTGGAAAGAAGCTTCCCACAGGGTTTTAAAGGCTGCGATTCTTTATAGAAGTGGACAGCCACAGGGTTAATAGGCAACCACCATGCCAGAGAGTCCACACATCCACTGCAGGCCTCACCTCTGAGATTTATCCTTCACCAAATAAGTTGATCGTACCTATATAGAACTACTCCTAACCCTGTGTCATTAAATTCCCTAAGGTTAGAATTTATAACACATAGGATCGTTTACGTTATTCTGAGGTTCACAGTCATAGTGATACACAATAAACCCAACCTTCTATATTTACACTTCAAATCAGAATAAAAGGAGTCCTTTTTGAGAAGACTGATCAGCCAGAGAGGAAAAAGCTCATCAATAATGTCAGGACTTCTTCAGGCAAATGTTCAAGTCCCTGCCTATAGACTTCCAATCAGGTTCTCGTGTATGTGTGTACACGTGCACCTTAAGTATTAATGTGCAGTCACAGTCATTTATCTGAAGGAATTGTGGAGGCTGAAACCAACAGAACAAAGGTGCTCAGAGAAACAAAAGGACTGGTCCTTCCTCACAACATACTAAAAAAATGTAAGACAAAATTTCACCACCCAGGCCTCTACGGAGCACTCTGGTCTTTCTCCAAGAAAGACTTACACTGTTGTTAGATGCTATTGAGTACAACTCATAGCCACCATAAGAGTAATAGATTTGAACCTTGTCCTGTCCTATGCCATCCTCATTTTTTCTGACACATAGCATTTCTCAACTTTGGCAACACATTAGAATCCCTAAAGATCTTCCCCACCTCCCTCTGTTTTTTGGGTTTTTTAATCATTTGCTTACAAAGTTAGTATACATTGTGTTTCACACTATTCTTCATTCACATTGTGTTTCATACAATCATTCTGATGCATTATATTATAAAATTAATCACCATTGGACCTTGCCCATCTTTACCCTGTCTTTTCACCCGGATACTTTCCCTTTTCTTGCCCTCTGCCTTCCACCTACCAAACTGTGCTACCCTGTGGCTTCACCTCTGTCCTCACCCCTCTGTTCTCACTCCTCACTGCCCCCATTGAGTTCCCATACATGTTTTAATAGTTATCCTTCTGTTTTTACAATAATGGTCTTATGCAGTCTTTGAACATAGAAACTCTGTATGACCCAGCTACTAGGAATATACCCCCAGGAAATTGGAACTGAGACACAAACGGAGATTTGTATTCCAATGTTCATAGCAGCTGTTATTCACCATCATAAGAATATGGAAACAACCTACATGTTCAGCCACAACAAAATGGACTGAAAAATTTGGTATATTCACACTGGAATACTACGCAGCACTCAGGAGCAACAATTCCAAAAAATGTTTAACGTAGGAGAGGTTGGAAAGCACTATGCTGAGTAAACTAATGCAGTCTCATAAGGACAAATACTGCATAAAGACCTCTTTAAAAATATCCTCACCCACTTAAGATCCAGGCCATGGTCTTCTCAGTTACTTGCTATGCATCTGAGAGCTGGACAGTGAATAAGGATGACAGAAAAAGAATTAATGCCTTTGAGTTGTGGTGCAAGAGAAGAGCATAGAGCATACTGTGGGCTGCCAACAGAACAAACAGGTCTGTCTTGGAGAGGGTGAAACCAGATTGCTCTTTGGAGGCAAGGATTTTTTTTTCTTTTCTTTTTTTTGGAGGCAAGGATTTTGAAGCTACATCTCACATACTTTGGACATGTTGTCAGGAGAGACCAGTCCTTGGAGAAAGATATCATGCTTGGAAAGATAGCGGGTTAGTGTAGTAGAGGAAGACTTTGGATGAGATGAATTGACTCAGTGATGTTGGCAATGGGGGTCAGGTGTATCAGATATAGTAAGATTGGAGCAGGATAGGGCAGGTTTTAGAACCATTGCTCATAGGGTCACTACGAGTCAGAGTTGATTTGAAGGCGTATAACAAGAACTATATTATAAACTCATCTACTCTTTGGAGGTAGGATACAGGAATCCGTACTTTTTTATGCTTTTCAGATTACGTCAATGTGCAGATAAGTTTGCACACCACTGTCAGAGAGCTAGAAAGACCCCAGTGAAATCTGTGAACCAGGAGACTTTAAAGGATATGTACAAGACTTCTGGCAAGATAATGGATTGGGAAGACAGCAATTCAGCCCTTCTACAACTAAACACCAGAAAACAAAGATAACGTGGATGATAATCTTGGA